CCCCAAAACCCCAAAACCCCAAAACCCCGGAGTAAGACTGTATGGTTGAACTTAACTCAGGCTATTATAATAATGCATACATAAATCTCTACTCTTAAACATTCCGGATATTTGAAGGGTGATCTTGGTAAGGCCGTATTTGTCAAGGATTGATTGAGCTTTGTCTTCGGTTATATTGCAGTTTTCTAAAGTCATTGTGATATCTCTGGGCTTTGTTTTAGCAAAACCTTTGATAATGTTCTCAAACCTCACAAAGTCATTGCTCTCCCAGTCACTACATTCACTCTCTCCAGTTCCTATAAAATCAATTTCCTCAAAACTGGAGTCATCAAGGTGGTCTCCAAAGTCCACTTCTCCATCTGTCTCTATCGCACAATACTCAAACTTTATTTTTTTGCAGTGTTTAGCAGCCACGACTAGGCGTTCAAATTCCGCTTTGGTCATCTTACATCAGATCAGTTTTGCTAAGTTGGAGACGTGGCTAAAGACCCTCTCGAAAGCACGAAGGTACCTTCTCACGCTCACAAAGGGACTATTGTGTGCATCGAACACAAACTTTCTCAGAGAATTATGGCCTTGAGGAACTGCATTCAGCAGAAATTTGGAGATCGGCTCAGGCCTGTAGTATCCTCTTGTGTATTTGAAGGAGAGCTTATTGAGAGGAGGAAGAGTGTTTAGCTGTAAGGCTTCCAACAGGGTTTGGGAGGAGGCTTCATCGAGGTCGAATTTGAGACTGGAAGAGGAGTCGAAGGTGGTGGTGGAGTTGGTGATTGAGTTGTGGATGGCTTTGAGTTGTGAGTGGTCAAGAGTGTGTTTGGATCCTTCAAGAGTGGATTCTAAGGAGGTGATTTGGTGTTGGAGTTCATCGATTTGGGCGGTTCTTTTAGCTTCTTCTTGGCTTTTGAACTCGATTGTTTCGTTGAGTTCCTGGATTGTTTCCTGACTTTCGTTATCTTTCTCTTGTAAGGTCTGCTCAATTTGTTCCAGTCTCTTCTGTTCTTCTTTCATGACTTCTATTTGGCGATCCTTGTGATCGTTTTCCTCAGTAGTTCTTCTCAGTTTTTCTTTCAGAGGAGTGATCAGCTTATTTGTTAAATCCTCCTCAAGTTTAGAGAGCTTGTTCCTCATAAAAGACTGATCAACTCCTTCTGTCTGAATGATTCCTCTTTTAGATTCTTGATAAGATCTGGAGTGAAGGTGTCTGTTGTAATGCTTCATCAACTCAGAGTCAAAGATGAGGTTGAGCAAAGCTCTAGCATCTGATAGAAGATACACAAAAGTCCACCACTGTTTTTCTTCTTCAGCCTTTTTATACTTTTCTATATTGGCTCATGAATCACTCAATTTTATAATAAAATGAACATTAACTAAGAAGGCGATTTATGTAAAGCTAAGAGGGCCAAAATTTATATCTAATCGGGTGGACCTTGTGCACAAAAATGTGATCTAAGGATTCAGTAGTGAAAGAATGCAATGAAGATGATAAATGCTCTATCATCATTCATAAATAATATGTTGGCACAAAACTATCCTGCCATATCAAGCTTAATTATGAAATTTCTGGCCCATGAAAATTATCTAATTACGGTATAAAATCAAACAAAATGGAGTTATTAATGGAAGAATCTTGAATGAGCAACTTACTTTTGAGGTCAATGTAGACGTCTTTGAACGTTTCTAGGTCTGGGAGGAAACCATCCCAGGCTTCATCAAGGTTTTGTTGGTCTTTGAACCTTTCGATTTCATCAATATTAAATATTACTAAAGAATTGAAATGTGATCAACTGATATTATTAGAACATCGCATCTTTTTGATAGAATTTTTAAAGATGATCTGCCATAAGTAATGTTGATGTACTGACCTCAGTGAAGACATGAGGATACCCTATGCTTTTACAAGCCACTCTCAACAAATACTTAATCTTATAAACTACAATCTATCGAACTAAATTCAATTTTACGATAAACATAGTATTAAATCCAGCTAAATCAACATTAAAAAACTGTTCACTAATCATTTTGTACTAATCGTGAAACGTTTTTGCAAAGAAATATCAAAATGAACCACTAACCAACAAGCAGCTAAATAGGGCTAAAATAGTCCAAAATACACTGGCGGAGGACAAACCCTGAACTTCCAGCTCTCCTCAGTAACACTCACCCATATTCAGGCACTCGTCAATACTCTTCAGCTTCGGAATGGGCTCGCAGTGTTCAGATGCGTAAGTCGTCGACATGCAGGTCTCACATATGAAAAGGTCTTTCTTGAGAGGGTTGTCATCCTTGCTCCTGATCATATAAGCGATCTGCTTACAGTTAGGAGAAGACCGACATTTTGGGAGTTTGATCATAATTATATTAATTATTATGATTTCAGCTATAAATATATTATCCGGGGTTTTGGGGTTTTGGGGTTTTGGGG